AAACCACTTCTGAAAAGCCTTGCCAAGAAAACTACAGGGACTTGTCCAGGCAATTGCCATGAGTCAACACTAACTCAAAGTATTGATGACACTAAAAAACACATAATGCTATCAAAAGACAAAAGATCCCTGAAAATTAATAAGCTGATAGCAAAAATGTTTATAAATTGTAGTTTATCTTTAAATACCATAATTTGTTCAATCTTGTTATGTTGAGTAAATTGCAATGGAAATATTCACACATTGCATCAATACAAAATTCATGATTTACAATTTAACACAACTGCTCGTGTGAATTTATACAGCACAGTGAGTACAGTGGTACCTTGGTACTCATTGTTAATTGATTCCAGGAGGCACGATGAGTACCAAAAATGATGAGTACTGAGCATATTTTTCCTATAAGGAATAATGTAGTGAGTCACAAGGCAGCCAACACCAGCAAGTTCTAGCTTGTGTGTTGAATACCAAACAAACAATGAGTACCAGGATAAATTTTTTGCATCAAAATGCGTTGAGTACTAAATTTGGTACTGTGAACCAATTCCATTGATAGAACTATCAGAACTAGGATGCAGATCTTTTTTAGACTACATGATGGCAGCAAAGAATAAGAAATAACTCTAGTGGTCATCTGGATTATTACAGTGTACTTCTGGTAAACCTAATGCTATGGCTTGGCATGAAGTGTGAATTCTGTACTAGTTTAAAAATTTTCTCCCAATCCTATACCAAATATTATGATTGCAAAAAATAGCAATGGAATGGAATGGAATAGAATAGAATAGATCATCTAGTCCAGTGGTTCTCAACCTGTGGGTCGGGACCCCATTTGGGGTCGATCGACCATTTCACGGGGGTCGCCAAGCAAGGCTGTCCGGCATTTTTTTGTCCGGCATTTTTTTTGTCTGCCATGTTTTTCCCTTTTCCGGCGGGTGCCAGCTGGTGGTCGGCCTGCTCCGTCTCTGCCGCTTGCCAGCTACGCCTCGGACGGCGCAGGGGGCGGAACCATGCATGCATGGCGCTCCCGGGCAGGGAAAGTCCTCGACTTACGACCGGTTGGGCAGTCCTCGACTTACGACCGGTTTAGTCCTCGACTTACGACCGGTTTAGTCCTCGACTTACGACCGGTTGGGGTCGCGGCATTAAAAAGGTTGAGAACCACTGATCTAGTCCAACTCATGCTAGAGCAGGAGACCTTGTACTATTTCAGACGAATGGCTGTCCAGTCTCTTCTTGAAAGTCTCCAGGGTCTATATTCTAATAAACTTTTTTTTCTGTATTCTAGGTCGGTGGTAGGATGGCCAATCGTGTGTTTGACATAGCCAAGTAAGATTTTATCTCGTGTTTTTCTCTATAAAATGATGTGTCTTGTCTGTATAATCTAAATTTTATTTATATGTATAATGTAATTTTATTCTATTTTATTTGTTACTTGGAGTTCTTTTCATTTTATCTTGGCAGTGCTAAAAAAATGAGGATGAGGAATTTCTGATCCATGAAGCAGATTTAACTGGGTTGCTCTGTCTTCTTTTGAACAGAAGCTTGGTCAGATGTCTCTCATCTATCTTAAAGCCCTGCCCCTTAGATAGCAGACTCATCTTTAGCATTATCTATAATCTTAAAGTATTGTGACCTACAGTGTGATCAGAGCTTCATGTAAGATAAAAAAGATTCTCATTAAGCAAACAACATACAGCACAAACATGCACTATGTCAAATCTGTATTGTAAATATCGAGGCAATATTTTAAAAGTATGTGAAATTCTAGGATAATCAGCTGATTTGACTCAGCTGCGTCAGGTATTTCAACTGGGTGTGAGTTTGAGGGGGGTCTTTCCTGTACATTTGCATACTTTGGTTGCCATTCTCAAAACTTGATCTTCTTGACACAGGATTATAGAAGTGAATCACGCCCCCATCGAAAGAAATCTAGTCCTCTGAAAAAGAGTTTTGATGCTCATGAAGCTAAAAGATGTTGTAAAACCATTGCTAAAGATAGGCATGTTTGACTGAAGTAACCACAGGTGCAATCAGTGATTAAAACCTAACATCGTTTTTCCTATTAAAAATAGTGTTGGCTAAGGCTGTTGAGTAGACATCACAAAATACACTGTTGTCTGTGTTCCCATTTAACCAGAATCTCTGTCTATTAATACAATTTAGATGAAGCTTAAATCCCTCTGTAAGCACTACTCATTGTTCTCACCCTGCATATCAAAGAAGACTGGGCAAGCCTGAAGCCTCCAGTTGCATGGCTTACCGCCATCCTGGTTTTGGGATTCTGGAAGCCTTCACCAACCACAGTAACCCACATTTGGGAAATATTCTCATACTTTTCAACCAGGAAACAGAACCATAGTATAAGCCCTATAATGTGCTTAATACAGTTTTAGAGGGAATTTAAAATCTATTAATAATCCTAAAAGCAGAAAGGTTTTCTGCTGTGAAAGAAGCATTCTGGTTTCCATTTGTTGCAGCTATCAGATTAAACTGTATGTCAGCCAGCTTCAAGGAGACAATACATCTTTGAAATTTTGGTTAAAGTAGATCATTGATTTACAGTTTTGCATCTTACTCCTATTCTATTTTTCATTCTTAAGGTCATTTCCCCTTGCCTTGGACCTTGGGTGTGGGCGAAGCTACATTGCTCAGCATTTAAACAAGGTATTAAGCTTTTTGTAACTTGGTTTCATGCGTACAGTACAACCTGTTAGATTGTGGATTGCTTAATAAATAAGAATCTTCTCTTCTATTGAAATCACACTTGGCTGATTTACACAATACATCAAAATAATAAACCATGGGTTATAAACTAGAATGGTTGGATTTCTTCAACACATGAAGGTGAAGCTAGACAGATCCCATTATGACTTAATAGAGAACCTGCCTAATCTTGTAAATTTGAATCAGACAACTGGACTAAGCAATCGAGCCTTTCCTGTATGCTAAAAATAAGATATAACAAATGTCACTCCTGTTTAATCATATCGTGTCTCATTGTTTCAGCTTTTTGACATACTGTACTATGTGGTCATAAAAAGTAAACCTCATTGGTTCAGTTGGAATCTTAATTATGCAGAAGGTTGGAATTAATTGCCATGACTTAGACTACGTGGGGTTTTCAAGAGAAGGCAGAATACATTTTAATTGTATTTTCTTCTTTATGTCTGATCAGAAGCATTTCCCAGCTAATTAAAATGGCTTTCCTCAAATAAAGAAATAGAGGTCTGTAGTTTTGAGCCTGGTTTGAATCCCAAAATACCTGATTTTCCAAAAATGTTTGTGATTAGTTTTAGACC